CTAATTATACACACCCTTTTCATATAATTTACACATAAAATTAAGTGAGTATACATAAATGCAGACCATTAGAATTACTTACCAAGTTATTATCTTGGTGATATATCCTAACTCCGCTCTAGCAGGCAGGTATGCTAAATATTGACCAATACTAAATACCTTGCCTAACTGGTGAGTTGACACCATACGTAAGGAGAAATTAAATTATTGTAGGTATACCCGATAATCAGAAAATCGTCCAATCACCGCGTCCAGTATTATCCTCGTTATCAGCTGTATTATGGCCAGATTACTATGTATCTGAACCCTTCCATATACCTATTATATTCACTCATTTCATGGCTCCCAGTTATTACCGATACACTCTTCACTGGCTTCGATTACCCACGATCAAATTATGCGACACTCCCCAGTTAATGTATACGTCCCGCCATTTTTGTTGCTTCCTTGAACGTTCTAATACATCTTTTTCAATTAAGTTAATAATACTTCCAGGTGTGTACTATATTTTCATTATTGAAATATTAATTTTCTCTAAAATTGTAATTACAGAATATAAGGAAATGATAGAGAATAGTAGTTCTCATGTTACAGAACATCTTTTAAAAATAACTAAAGATGCACATCTGCACGAGATTTTATAAATATTATTTTTCCCGGCAGTTTTTACACACAAATTACAGGAAAATTAACCAATTTTCCACAAAGGGACTTTATATGAAGTGTCTCAATAATATCATTTGGAAATCATTTGTAAACCACACTTTAAAGAAATAAAACAAACCATTTATCTTTTATCATTTGTCAAGTACTTCTTGTCCGTATATCAAGAACTAAGTTTATTTAGGCACATGTGCTAATAAGTATAATTATCATATATAGTAATATATGTGTATATTACCTAGGCTACTCCAAAACAGTCAGATAAAGTAAGCGACATATTTCCACTGGGGCCCTTGTAATATCTTATTGTTTAGTAAGTAAGCTTATTTAGATACAGGTTCACTTAACTACTTACAGTTATCATATATATATCATATATACTTACAGTTATCATATATAGTTTAATATGTGTAAATGGGTATGGGGTGCATAATAAAGATGTTAAATTAACTAACCTAAACATAATAACCCGCACATAGGAGAGAGGAGCTGACCACGACGTTTCGGTCCAACTTGTCCAAGTCGGCCCGAAACGTCGTGGTCAGCTCTTCCTATGTGCAGGTTATTTATGTATTGTGACTTTGTTATTTAACTATCCTAAATAATAAAACCTAGGGTTCGATACGGTGCATGATCTCAGTGGCCCTTTAAACCCCAACAAGAACTGGAAAAAAGAGTAAACCGCACACTTCTGACTAAGTAACCTACATCTATACTGAAGAGGAAGGTAATACATACAACAGAAGTGTACACAGAGGCTCACACATTATATAAAACATTGAAACCTCTGGAATGTCACCAGGTTCCATCTTGAATTGGGATGTAAACTACCGAAAGAATTCTCAACATTTCATTGTCAAGTTGTATGGGTTTTATCAGGCCATATTTTCATTTTTTACACTGTCAGATATACAATATGTTGGCTTTCAGAACGTAGTGCAGTATATTACTTAAGTTGTATTAATATTACATGTACCATTGACAAGGAGATATGAAAGACGTGTGCAAGTTTGGTGTATTTTGGAAACTTTAGGAAAATAAAGATACTCATATGTTGCACATATGTATTAAATCAAGATCTTGTTGTTCCTCATACGTTCCCAATAAAAAATAGTTTCAAGGGGCTCTTGATCCAGGGATCAAAATTGCCTCCTATTTCCCATTCGCTATATGACCCACTATGAATTTAGTGCTTCCTCCCCCTACCCCAATTATATTAATAATAGATACCCAAACAATTATTTTCTATTGTCATGATCAATGCCAATAAGTCACTTTGACTTTTTTCTGTTAACCTAGGTAATTTATGCTATGTTAAATAAATAAATAATCTTTATTCCTACAGGTGCATGTACAAGGTATACAGGCCTAGTTGACATCGAAAGTGTGCTATTATATAGAAAGACCCTTGTTATGCAGAGCATTTCGGGCAAATTTTGTCCCAGGATGCGACTAGACAGACACCTAAAGTCAGTACCTGACCAGCCGGGTTGTGGCTTGTACGTTGGATTACGTATGGCCCTGATCCACCATGAGGCCTGGTCGCAGACTGGGCCGTGGGGGCATTGACCCCCAGAACTCTTTCCAGGTATACTCCAGGTATACACCAGTCAACTAACACCCATACAACCATACAACCGAGGAAGAAGTGAAGAGGCTGCTGAGTGAGCTAGATACCTCAAAGGCAATGGGGCCGGATAACATCTCTCCATGGGCTCTGAGAGAGGGAGCAGAGGCGCTAACAACGATACTCAACAAATCTATCGAAATAGGGCAACTACCTGAGGTATGGAAGACAGCAAATGTAGTACCAATTTTTCAAAAAAGGACACAAACATGAAGCATTAAATTACAGACCAGTGTCACTGACATGTATAGTATGCAAAGTCATGGAGAAGATTATCAGGAGAAGAGTGGTGGAATGCCTAGAAAGAAATGAGCTTATCAACGACAGCCAACACAGTTTCAGGGACGGGAAATCCTGTGTCACAAACCTACTGGAGTTCTATGACAGGTTGACAGCAGTAAGACAAGAGAAAGAGGGGTGGGTAGATTGCATTTTCTTAGACTGTAAGAAGGCATTTGACACAGTTCCACACAAGATTAGTGCAAAGGCTGGAGGACCAAGCAGGGATAACAGGAAAGGCTCTACAATGGATCACCACATACCATGACTCTGTTGTCAGGAAGACAACAGCGAGTCATGGTATGTGGTGAGGTGTCAGAGTGGGTGCCTGTGACAAGTGGAGTTCCACAGGGACCAGTGCTGTCTCTGGTATTTGTGAATGACATGACGGAAGGAGTAGACTCCGAAGTGTCCCTGTTTGTAGATGATGTGAAGTTCATGAGAAGAATTGAATTGGACGAGGATCAGGCAGAACTACAAAGGGATCTGGACAGGCTGCAGGCCTGGTCCAGCAACTGGCTCCTGGAGTTCAACCCCACCAAGTGCAAAGTTACCTGGAGTTACCTGGAGAGAGTTCCGGGGGTCAACGCCCCCGCGGCCCGGTCTGTGACCAGGCCTCCTGGTGGATCAGAGCCTGATCAACCAGGCTGTTGCTGCTGGCTGCACGCAAACCAACGTCATGAAGATTGGGGAAGGGCAATGAAGACCACAGACAGAGCACAGTCTAGGGGGCCAGAGACTACAAACCTAACTCAAGGAAAATGATCTTGAGGTGATTATAACACCAGGCACATCTCCTGAGGTGCACAACAACTAAATAACTGCTGCAGCATATGGGCGCCTAAGAACAGCTTTCTGACAACTTTATAAGGAATCGTTCGGGACCCTGTACACTTTGTACGTTAGGCCCATATTGGAGTATGCAGCACCAGTTTGGAACCCACACCTAACAAGCATGTAAGGAAACTAGAGAAAGCGCAGAGGTTTGCAACAAGACTAGTCCCAGAGCTAAGGGGTATGTCCTATGAGGAGAGGTTAAGGGAAATCGACCTGACAACGCTGGAGGACAGGAAAGATGGGGGGGACATGATAACAACATATAAAATACTGAGAGTAATTGACAGGGTGGACAGAGACAGAATGTTCCAGAGATGGGACACAGCAACTAGGGGTTACAGTTGGAAGTTGAAGACTCAGATGAATCACAGGGATGTCAGGAAGTATTTCTTCAGTCACAGAGTAGTCAGGAAGTGGAATAGTTTGAGAAGCAGTGTGGTGGAGGCAGGATCCATACATACCTTTAAGAAGAGGTGTGATAAATCTCATGGAGCGGGAAGAGTGACTGAGTAGTGGCCAGTGAAGAGGCGGGGGCAGGAGCTGTGACTCGACCCCTGCAACCACAACTAGGTGAGTACAACTAGGTGAGTACCCAGGTAGCTATTTTACTGATAAATTAGACACATGTGCAACTCTTGGGTATCTTTATTGAGGAAACGTTTCGCCACACAGTGGCTTCATCAGTCCATACGTAGGAGAAACTTGAAGAACAGGAGTAGAATGAGGTAATCAGTCCCTCAACCTTGAGTCGATGTGTTCAGTCCATCAATCTCAAGATTGATGGACTGAACACATCAACTCAAGGTTGAGGGACTGATTACCTCATTCTACTCCTGTTCTTCAAGTTTCTCCTACGTATGGACTGATGAAGCCACTGTGTGGCGAAACGTTTCCTCAATAAAGATACCCAAGAGTTGCACATGTGTCTAATTTATCAACATGTCGGTTCTCTGAACCATTCATCTACAAAGCTATTTTACTGTTAAGTGAACATGGACAACAGGTGTCTTAAGGAAATGTGTCCTAATGTTTCCACCCATACTGGGAATCGACCCACATACCTCAGTGTGTGAGGTGAGTGTGCTAGCATTCGTGTACCTGTGCCTAAATAAACTAACTTACTCACTCATATAAATGTACTCTGTCATTTATTTTTTTGCAGATTATAATATTGCAAAGCATCCCTTAGAGTGAAGTTAAATAATGCCAGAAAAAATACCTAAATTGTCACTCCATGATTGGGTTGCCCTACACAGCTCTCTCCTGGAGGAGGAGAGGAAGGCAGAAGTTGCAGCAGCTCAAACTCAGGTACTATACTTATTATAAATAATTATGAATAATTTCAGTAGACAATAAAGTAGTTTTGATAGCAGTTGAGAAGTAGAAATTGAATCAGCTAGCAGTATAGGATACAATTAATAGATTAAAAGTTTACAATAGTGACTGTATTTCATTAGTTAGAAATGGCTGTGAAATCAAGTGGCGGCATGAAAATGAGGTGAATTGCAGAAATGGCCGAGATAAAGAATTGTAGGAGTGTTGAGGAATCGGTGGAAAGAAAAAAAATATCAGTATATGGTAAAAAGGGATTGTATAAGAATGTAGAGGTGGTTATACCTTTGTGTGGCTGTGAAACTTGGTGCTCAAATCTTACATCAAGCAGGAAGTATGTAAGGCAATGATTCTCAACCAGGGGTAAATTTTCCCTTTTGGGGTAAAAAATTACATGGTAAGGGGTAAATATTTGTGTACTATTTTTGTTAAACCTGAATAATTTTTTTTCTGACCTTGTTTTTCTGTCCCTTTGTGATGGTGATAAATTTTTTGTATAGAAGTAAGGGGGTAAATGGAGAAATACATCAAGCTGAGGGGGTTAATGATGGAGGAAACATTGAGAATCCCTGATGTAAAGTATAATTTAATGAGTGGAGGAGAAATATTTGAGAGTTTAGCCATGTAGAAGTGCATTGGTCATAACTGCAAACATAATATATGAAATTATTGACAGATTGAAGGTGTGCCATTGAAGAATCTCGAGGCACGAGGAATAGTCTTGAGAAACTTGGTAATCACTGAGCGGTCCACTGGATTGTATGGGCGGCCTTTGTTCACTCTTGTTCCAGCTCGGAAGGATGCCACACTACCAGCTAATAATTTTTCATCAGGTATAAAGCCACTTATGTGTACAGTATATTGCTGCATACAGAGTCTGAGATTATGTATTTAATGTCTTTAAAATAGACTAAATTGTTTTAATTCATTGCATAATTAAATTGTCATGTTACTGTTGATTCCATTATACATGCACGGTAATGCAACCAGGCTTGTTTAATGTTTCCTATGTTTTATCTTTATGTTACTTATTGTTGATTCATCTTAATGTTCTAGGAAAATTAATAAATAATGAGAATGATGTGAGAGAAATCTAAAAACATAAAATAATAAAAAAATCTAAAAAAATGTGTAGAGTAGCACTAAAATTATACTGTAATAGTTTGAAATTTATACTGCTTTTTCTCTCTGTGTAATGATAGCTTTCTCTGCAGGTGATATTGTGGGTGTATGCGAGTCTAGGTCAGAACATACCAGTCAAATAACAACAGGAGTAGTGACATATGTTTCTCAATCATCCATCCGCTTTGTCGTTGATGACGGTGCGGATGAATTGGATACCATTGGCGATGACATCAAGCTGCACTTACACAAGCTTTGTAATGATGTATGTAACATTCCAAATTACTGGTGGTCACTTTTAATAGTATAATAAATAGTATAATACTTGTGATTAGAGTATGTATTTAGTTTTTAACACATTCTTTGTATACCATAATAATTCCTTGAGTGAGGAAACAAATACCGCAAAACAGAGGAACTGTAAATTTCAGTTTTTATTGGATTTTTTCTCTCAACATGCTGGTCGTCTCCCACCAAGGCAGGGTGACTCAAAAAAAAAAAAGAAAAACACTTTTAACATCATTCACATACAATCTCTGTGTTTGCAGAGGTACGGAGATATGACAGTGCAGATCTCACTTGCAACAGCAAATATCCCAAACCCCCTCCTTTAAAGTGTAGGCATTGTACTTCCCACCTCCAGGACTCAAGTCTGGCTAACCAGTTTCCCTGAATCCCTTCACAAAATATTACCCTGCTCACACTTCAACATCTCGTCAGGTCCCAAAAACCATTTGTCTCCACTTACTCCTATCTAACATGCTCACACATACCTGCTGTATGTCCAAGGCCCTTGCAGGCAACCTCTTTTACCTCCTGCCTCCATCCTTTCCTAGGACAACCACGACCCCACCTACAGATTTATTAGCAAATAAAGAAATGGGGGAAATATAGTACACACCAGGTTAGCCTAGATGGTAGACCTCCGGATTGTCCATTTATGGACTGTGGTTAGAGCCCCTCATATGACAGTACACACCTGAGATGGTGACAGATTAGAATGCAAGAACCTTAAATTATCATTGTAATTAGTATACATTTTAGTAAAGATGAGAACCTTATTTTCCAAGAATGGTGTTTGTATATTTCTGTAAATACCTCTCAAAATGGTCAAGGCCGTAGCTACTGTCTGTTTCCTGTGTGAGTGTGGTTAAAATAGTTGCATCTCTTACCATAAGTGTTAACTTGGAAGTTTCCTTCCATTACTTTCTTATTTTTTCAGTAATTATTTTTGATCACGTTACTTCAGCCCCCATTCTGCTTTGTAACATATAGTAAAACACTGACACTTGTAGCAGAACAAGATTTATTTGCACATGTTACATGGTAGTAGATTGGTAGACAGCAGCCATCAAAGGATGTACAACCCCCCTATCAAATAAGTGTACAGTGGAAACCTGTTAAATTTTTTGCACTCTGGCTGGGTTGCTGTTTTTTTTTACCACAGGATGGATATGGGGTGCACAATAAACTAACCACTTTAGTAGCAAAATCTAAAAAAAAGTAAACTCATGAACACATAAGATGACAGGTAAATCTTACATACCTTTTCTTACATTTAGTATACACATGACTTTACTTTCCTTTGGTCTTCTTAACAGTTTTTAATCCTTTAATATTTCCTTTCCATCCTAGAAGGCCTGGTCTTGAGACCATACCTGAAGGGTGTTCCGGGGAGTCGATGCCCCTGCGGCCCGATCCATGACCAGGGTATGGGGAAGATAATCCCCAGAAACCACTAGCAAATGAGCTTTTTTCTAAGTTGTAATTTCAGAAGGCTCCTAACTTCTGCTATAATTGTATAACTTTTTCAGGTAACATATAAAAGGATAAAATCTGGGCTGGTTGATCTTGATAAACAAATAAATGGTCCTGCTTCACACCTAGTTTCTGTCTTGTTTGGGGAGACGTTGCCTAGGTCTCCAGTGCCCTCCTTACCACCACAACTAACTTTACCAAATGGCAAATTGGCTCTCTTTAATAGTAAGTATGACTTTTTCATTAAGACATATATACATGTAATGAATATAGTTCAAAAACCAATTATTATTATTTTTTTTTTATTATCACACTGGCCGATTCCCACCAAGGCAGGGTGGCCCGAAAAAGAAAAACTTCCATCATCATTCACTCCATCACTGTCTTGCCAGAAGGGTGCTTTACACTACAGTTTTTAAACTGCAACATTAACACCCCTCCTTCAGAGTGCAGGCACTGTACTTCCCATCTCCAGGACTCAAGTCCGGCCTGCCGGTTTCCCTGAACCCCTTCATGAATGTTACTTTGCTCACACTCCAACAGCACGTCAAGTATTAAAAACCATTTGTCTCCATTCACTCCTATCAAACACGCTCACGCATGCCTGCTGGAAGTCCAAGCCCCTCGCACACAAAACCTCCTTTACCCCCTCCCTCCAACCTTTCCTAGGCCAACCCCTACCCCGCCTTCCTTCCACTACAGACTGATACACTCTTGAAGTCACTCTGTTTCGCTCCATTCTCTCTACATGTCCGAACCACCTCAACAACCCTTCCTCAGCCCTCTGGACAACAGTTTTGGTAATCCCGCACCTCCTCCTAACTTCCAAACTACGAATTCTCTGCATTATATTCACACCACACATTGCCCTCAGACATGACATCTCCACTGCCTCCAGCCTTCTCCTCGCTGCAACATTCATCACCCATGCTTCACACCCATATAAGAGCGTTGGTAAAACTATACTCTCATACATTCCCCTCTTTGCCTCCAAGGACAAAGTTCTTTGTCTCCACAGACTCCTAAGTGCACCACTCACCCTTTTCCCCTCATCAGTTCTATGATTCACCTCATCTTTCATAGACCCATCCGCTGACACGTCCACTCCCAAATATCTGAATACATTCACCTCCTCCATACTCTCTCCCTCCAATCTGATATCCAATCTTTCATCACCTAATCTTTTTGTTATCCTCATTATCTTACTCTTTCCAATTATAGTATAATAAAAAAAAATTTAATCCACACCAGCCATCTCTTGCTAAGGTTAGATAGCCCAGAAAAAAACGAGGAATAAGGAAACAAAAGTGTAAACATGTGGAGTGTAATATCAGAAAGGAGTTAAGTTGATAATGTGGGCTTAAATATGTGAAAAGGGAGGTGTAAAATAATTATATTACGTTTTGTCTATAATAAATATTTCCCTATACAGTAAATATTTGATGTTATTGTACTAAAATCATCACACAGAAAACCTGGATAATTCTCAAGTGGAGGCAGTGCAGTTTGCCATTCAGAGAAGTGATATAGCTGTGATTCATGGCCCACCAGGGACAGGCAAGACAACAACTTTGGTTGAAATTATTAAACAACATGTGAAACTGAAATCCAAGGTAAGTTAGACTGTGTTACATACTGTATAATATGTAAAAAAATAGTTATTAAGGCATCAGTGAATCCTTTGAAGTAGAGTATTGAAATGGCTTCAAGGAGAAACCTTAGTAGTATTTTTCCTTTAATTCTTTTTTTATTTACTTCTCTTATGCTATGGGCCCTCACACTTGCACCTAGAGAAGGATTTTGTCTAAAGACATGGTATATTTATCTCCAGTTAAATTATGATGAATCATTTATATTTTTTTCTTAATACAACATAATTAATTGTAATGTATTTAGAAATTTTTTATTTTGTCATTTATGAAAAAGAAGACACAAATTAGTTTAACTTTTTACAATTTTATTACCTGAATCACAAATTGTTTCAGATTCTAGCCTGTGCCCCATCCAACCTTGCTGTAGACAACTTGGTAGAACGGTTAGCCACTTCTGGTATACGTTTAGTGCGATTAGGTCATCCAGCACGGGTTACGCAACTTACGCAAAGACATACACTCGATGCCATTTTGCATAATAGGTTGGTATCAATTTTCATCTTGTACTTATTTTATTTACACTATAGGTGCTCCTTGACTTAGGATGGTTTGACTTACGATATATTAACTTTATGACAGTGCAAAGGAAATTACTTTGGAGAAGAAACTTAAGATAATTACCCAGCATGATGGCAGCAAGTCCATAACTTGTATTCATTTATTTACCTTTTAAATACAGCCTTTCCTCACTTAACGATGGAGTTCCGTTTCTAAGACCACGTTGGTGAACAAATTCGTCCATAAGTGAGGAGCATACTATAATGGTGGTAGATTTGTGTCAACCATCTTTGATATTGTTTTATATAGGTATTTTTAAATTTTCCTTTAACAGTTTTCATTTTTCCATTTCAGTGAAGAATCCAAAATTTTGGAAGATATTCGCCGAGATATAAGTAGCCACCTAGGGCAGCTAAAAGGTGCAAGAGATAAAGGCAAAAGGCAATATCTTCAAAAAGAAATAAAACTATTTAGGAAGGAGCTTCGTGAAAGGTATTAGTAAAGACTGTTCGCGTTTCTCATTTGTTAATAATTAATAGTTGAGAAATGCTACCTAGAGAAAAAATTCTTAAGGTTTTTGTTTAGTAAGTAATGTATTGCACTGCATTGAAAAGATTCTTTCTGTATACTGTACCTATATTTCAATTTTTTTTTCATTTCCTATATTGTGGGTTCCTCAAATATTGTAGGTGTTGCATTGTTTTCCTTACACTATGGGCACAATAAGGAAATACTACTGAGTCAACATCTGTGGTCCAAGACTGCTCAGCCTGCTACAGGTAAATACTATCAGAAACATTGTTGAGACAAGTGTAGAGGTTTCCAAGAGGAAAATGGATTACTACCTCAGCTGTATGAAAGATCAACAGGGCTGTAATGGTTATGTGGGTCAGTGGATCATCAACAGAAACAGCCTGATTGAACAGGCAGTCATCAGAAAGCCTGGCTCCAGGCTGAGCTGCATGGGTAAAACAGATTTAAAATAGGTCACAGGTATATCACAGGAGGAACTACTATATAAATCCCCCCCCCCCCAAACCAGCACGGACTGTTATTGTGTGTAGATAATGTGACATATACTGCCAGTTTATATGTTATTAAGTACAGTACATATCTCTCATTTTGCATTGTCAAAGAATGTACTAAATAGTATATTGTATTGTAAAATCAGTGTTAAAACAATAAGCTCTGACATTTTAAACCATACAGAAGGAAGGAAAGGTGTATGGAATTTGACATGAATGTTTTCCAGTGTTAGTACTGAGAGTAATCTCTGCCAACAGAGAGAGCCGACTGGTGCAGCAAGTGTTGCTAAGTTGTGATGTTATCCTGGCCACCCTGACTAGCAGCAGTAATGGTGGTCCACTCAAGCACCTCCCTCCACAACATTTGGATCTGGTCATTATTGATGAATGTTCACAGGTATTACCTATGACTGTTTTCTCTTAATGTTGAAGTATTTACCAGCGTGGCAATAAAATACATATTAGAATTTCCATTCAGTATATTCATATTCACTTTTTATGTGGTGACCCCCATTTCTATTAGGCATAAATTCTGTCATACACAATCACCCATTTTCTGCCCCCACTTGTTTTTTTGGCCATATTGTGTAGCTCAAGATCAAAGGGTTGGTTACCTAGTATCCACTACCAACACAAAAAATGTGGTAGTCAGTTGGTGCCCAGGACATGTCCAAGTCACAGGTATAATAAGTGGGAAGATTGAGCAGGCTGCAAGTTTTTGACCATTCTCTGTACACAAAAAGTCTTCATGAGATGATCCTCTGTAGATTGAGGATAAAGCACATCTCACTTACAGCCATCTGCTTGCAAGTGCTCCTACCCCTGTGTGACTTGTGTTGCTGACTATGAAGTATATTTTAATTGTTGGCCCATTTTTGTCCCTTTTTATAAGTTTTTTGTAATTTATAATTTTCAGGATACTGTATTAGCAGGAACTCCAGGGAGTTTTTAAGGAATCTTGTTTTATGTTAACCATTGTTGTTTATGTAATTGATGCAGAGAAATTTAACGTCATGTGTATGTGATATAATGTATTTTTCTTGTGTGGGCGTGTTAGCATGATTTATTTTTATTTTTGAGTGATTTTGTCCAAGATACTGAAAAAAAGGAACAAATAACTAAATCATGGTTCTAATTTAATAATGTATTTAATCATTGTTTTTCAGGCAATAGAGGCTGCATGTTACCTATCACTCCTGCGTGCGCCAAAGCTCATCATTGCAGGTGACCATTGTCAACTTCCTCCAACCATTGTATCAGCGGAGGCTGCAGCAAAGGGGCTTGAGCACTCACTTATGGAGAGAGTTATAGGTGTGTTCAGTGTCTTTGCCTCATGCAGTATTGCTATATAGCACTTGAACAGCCTTCTGGAACGAATTAAGTTCGTAACTTGAGGTACCACTGTATGTACATGTATAATTTATACAGTGAATATGCAGAGTTGTCAGTAGTTTGCGGTCATCATATTATATGGTGGTATTTATGGGAAAGTGCTACAGCTATAAGGGTCATAGAGTGGGAAATTAGATATGATCCAAGGAATGGGAGGGTAGCTCTATTTCCCTTGGATCAAGAGCCCTTCACTGGCACCAAGGCACTAAAGTTGAAGGAATGAAAAATAATGTTTAAGCAAGACATTGTACAATTAATTTTCTTTTTTTATTATATTTGTCTTCAAATATGTGTGTGTCTGTGTGTATGCATATGCTTACTCTCTCTCTCCCTATTCCAGACTACTTATAGTTGCTTTGGTAATGTTACTGCTCCACGTTCTTATGCACATTACTTATACAATTTAAAATAATCGATTAGCATCTATGTGCTATTTATAGGAACAAAGTAACATTTATAAGGGGATTCAGGGAAACTGGTTAGCCAGATTTGAGTACTGGAGGTGGGAAGTGCAGTGCATACATTCTGAAGGAGGGATGGGGATGCTTCTGGCAAGACAGTAATTGAGTGAATGACTGTGAAAATGTTTCTTCCGTTTTTTGGGGGTTCCCCTACCTTGCTAGGAGACAATTGATGTGTTAAATTTTTTATTTATGACATTATAGAAAGACGTTAATCATTTTGATTGTCTGGAGTGTTATACAGTTAAATGCACTATTTTGTGCTGCATATACATGTGTAGTTTACACTCATTTCTACATATTTACATGTATTGCATTCGTTACTACCATGAAATGAATTTCTTGCAGATCAATGTGGAGAAGGTATTGTAAGAATGCTAACAGTTCAGTACCGTATGAACACCCAAATAATGGAATGGGCATCATCAGCTATGTATCAGAACCGTCTAGTTGCAAGCCCTTCTGTTGCCAGTCACATTCTCCAAGACCTGAAGGGTGTCCATGTAAATGAAGATACAGGTAATGTTAACTATTTTTATTTGTTAAAAATCTGACTTTTGTTATGTGACTGACTGCTATCATTTGTAATTATTACACATGCATTGAGATGCTTGATTGTAGCTCTTCATATCCTTTTTGTTTGGAAATTGTGTACTAAAATGATCGACCTAAATATTGTTGTGGAATCCAGCACATGCCATAGTGATTTGCACTTCCTGCACCACATCTCGTGTTCAAAACTAATGTTATTACACTAGTTAGAAAAATCACCTGTTGCTTCTCCTTAGTACAAATGCCTCGTCTGAATATACAGTATAATCAGTCATATGCTACTCTAATATGCCCTCAACTCATGCCCATGTTTTGGAACACAAATAAGAAGTCCAGGATCAATGTAGCTGTCTTAAGGGACTATCTCTGCTTTTTTGTTGAGAAATACCTTAAATCAAATAATTTGACTTAGTAATTCATCCTCGTAGACAATACTCGCTGAGGACATCAAGCTATTGCATTCCAGTGTTGAGGTAGTCTTCCTGTCTCCAAACATGACATTCCAGGTGTAGTCCCTAGACCAAAGCATGGTTGCTAAGGAACACGTGGTGGTGAAAGTGACTTCTTCTTTGAGCCACCTGTCTAGGTGGGAAATGGACAGTATGTTAAAAAATCATTAATGATGTTTTGGTCGTGTACAGTTGAGTTTGTAGGGCCCAATACATGCAGCAAAACTCATTACATGGGCTATATAGCTCTGCTCATGTAACCTATGGAGCAGGTGCGACATTGGTCCTGAAAATGAAAATACAGATATTGAATGGCTTGCTTATGCATGCATAAATCTTGAGATGTTACTAATGAAGTGCAGTATTATATTCTTTATTAGGAATTACAGAAGAGGCACCAAATATGTCATGTCATATAAGTGAATCAGATAGTTACCAATTGCATAGGCAGCAACATCCTCCCCAGCATGGGTTTCATAGCCTAGAGGAACGGCTGAAAGAGGCTGGTAACCAGGTTGTGTAGTATTTTCTTTTCTGACATCAGGCCGTGTAACCTGCATGAAGCTTTATTGAATTATGCATCTTGTGTAATATCTAGCACTTTCATTCCCTTTAAGGAATTGAGCAACCCTTCCCTTCCTTGGATCAAACCTGATTACCTCTCATTCTCCAGGTGCTGTAGAATCCCTATGAATATGCAAATAACACACCACAGAAGCATATTCTGCACATCATAAATCTCCTTACGTCTTTTAGCTTTTACTTCACATCACAATTCACCACTTAATTCCTCGGTTTACTACGTGGTTCCCTGCTTCCTTAAAACTTCTGTTATCCTAATATGTCCATGAGTGCTTACTTTTTAAAATTTCTGTAGCATTATGCATTATGATGGCAGTCCCTGAATTTATTACACAAAATTACAAGAGAATATAATATTACAGTGGAATGCCATATGTTCAGCTCATTCAGCAGAGGCTATCTGAAGTTTTAATTTGTCTGAAGATATTGAGCATGAAAATTTAAGGGAATTTTTTAAAGAAACATTCTCAAGACAAAACAGGAAAGTACGAATCATATAAAAATAGGGTTCATCATTTCCTGTTGTCCTTTTTCTCCTTTATGTGCTGTATATATCAGATTGGAGGGAGAGAGTATGGAGGAGGTGAATGTATTCAGATATTTGGGAGTGGACGTATCAGCGGATGGGTCTATGAAAGATGAGGTGAATCATAGAATTGATGAGGGAAAAAGAGTGAGTGGTGCACTTAGGAGTCTGTGGAGACAAAGAACTTTGTCCTTGGAGGCAAAGAAGGGAATGTATGAGAGTATAGTTTTACCAACGCTCTTATATGGGTGTGAAGCATGGGTGATGAATGTTGCAGCGAGGAGAAGGCTGGAGGCAGTGGAGATGTCATGTCTGAGAGCAATGTGTGGTGTGAATATAATGCAGAGAATTCGTAGTTTGGAAGTTAGGAGGAGGTGCGGGATTACCAAAACTGTTGTCCAGAGGGCTGAGGAAGGGTTGTTGAGGTGGTTCAGACATGTGGAGAGAATGGAGCGAAACAGAATAACTTCAAGAGTGTATCAGTCTGTAGTGGAAGGAAGGCGGGGTAGGGGTCGGCCTAGGAAAGGTTGGAGGGAGGGGGTAAAGGAGGTTTTGTGTGCGAGGGGCTTGGACTTCCAGCAGGCATGCGTGAGCGTGTTTGATAGGAGTGAATGGAGATAAATGGTTTTTAATACTTGACGTGCTGTTGGAGTGTGAGCAAAGTAACATTCATGAAGGGGTTCAGGGAAACCGGCAGGCCGGACTTGAGTCCTGGAGAAGGGAAGTACAGTGCCTGCACTCTGAAGGAGGGGTGTTAATGTTGCAGTTTAAAAACTGTAGTGTAAAGCACCCTTCTGGCAAGACAGTGATGGAGTGAATGATGGTGAAAGTTTTTCTTTTTCGGGCCACCCTGCCTTGGTGGGAATCGGCCAGTGTGATAATAATAAAAAAAAAAAATAATATATATATATATATATATATATATATATATATTTTTTCAGCAAGTCGGCCGTCTCCCACCGAGGCAGGGTGACCCAAAAAAGAAAGAAAATCCCCAAAAAGAAAATACTTTCATCATCATTCAACACTTTCACCACACTCACACATTATCACTGTTTTTGCAGAATACAACAGTTTAGAAGCATACACATATAAAGACACACAACATATCCCTCCAAACTGCCAATATCCCAAACCCCTCCTTTAAAGTGCAGGCATTGTACTTCCCATTTCCAGGACTCAAGTCCGACTATATGAAAATAACCGGTTACCCTGAATTTTTTTTTTTTTTTTTTTCAACAAGTCGGCCGTCTCCCACCGAGGCAGGGTGACCCAAAAAAAAGAAAGAAAATCCCCAAAAAGAAAATACTTTCATCATCATTCAACACTTTCACCACACTAGCACATTATCACTGTTTTTGCAGAGGTGCTCAGAATACAACAGTCTAGAAGCATACGCAGCGCTGTATAGCCCTTGTGGCTTAGCGCTTCTTTTTTTATTATAATAATAATCTAGAAGCATACACATATAAAGATACACAACATATCCCTCCAAACTGCCAATATCCCAAACCCCTCCTTTAAAGTGCAGGCATTGTACTTCCCATTTCCAGGACTCAAGTCCGACTATATGAAAATAACCGGTTTCCCTGAATCCCTTCACTAAATATTACCCTGCTCACACTCCAACAGATCGTCAGGTCCCAAGTACCATTCATCTCCATTCACTCCTATCTAACACGCTCACGCACGCTTGCTGGACGTCCAAGCCCCTTGCCCACAAAACCTCCTTTACCCCCTCTCTCCAACATTTCGAGGACGACCCCTACCCCGCCTTCCTTCCCCTATAGATTTATATGCTTTCCATGTCATTCTACTTTGATCCATTCTCTCTAAATGACCAAACCACCTCAACAACCCCTCTTCTGCCCTCTGACTAATACTTTTATTAACTCCACACCTTCTCCTAATTTCCACACTCCGAATTTTCTGCATAATATTTACACCACACATTGCCCTTAAACAGGACATCTCCACTGCCTCCAACCGTCTCCTCGCTGCTGCATTTACCACCCAAGCTTCACACCCATATAAGAGTGTTGGTACTACTATACTTTCATACATTCCCTTCTTTGCCTCCAAAGATAACATTTTTTGACTCCACATATACCTCAACGCACCACTCACCTTTTTTCCCTCATCAATTCTGTGATTAACCTCATCCTTCATAAATCCATCCGCCGACACGTCAACTCCCAAGTATCTGAAAACATCCACTTCTTCCATACTCCTCCTCCCCAATTTGATATCCAATTTTTCTTTATCTAAATCATTTGACACCCTCATCACCTTACTCTTTTCTATGTTCACTTTCAACTTTCTACCTTTACACACATTCCCAAACTCATCCACTAACCTTTGCAATTTTTCTTTAGAATCTCCCATAAGCACAGTATCATCAGCAAAAAGTAACTGTCAATTCCCATTTTGAATTTGATTCCCCAAAATTTAATCCCACCCCTCTCCCGAACACCCTAGCATTTACTTCCTTTACAACCCCATCTATAAATATATTAAACAACCATGGTGACATTACACATTCCTGTCTAAGACCCACTTTTACCGGGAAGTAGTCTCCCTCTCTTCTACACACCCTAACCTGAGCCTCACTATCCTCATAAAAACTCTTTGCTGTATATATACAGCATATAAATCGTGTGTTAGTTAAGGCTGAAAGGCAAAATATTACTGTTAATAACTGAAATTTTTTAAAAAATGTGATAGGATTTCACGTAGATTCTCAGCATCATCAAATAACCTCACTTTAAAAACTCGTCATATTTAACCCATTAGTAATTACCCTATGCGCTTTACCATGCACTAGCACATACACAAGGCTTATGGTCATTAATATTGTCATAAATGAATGTAAATAATCTTTAAACAAAGAAGTCATTTGCATTCTGCAATTTTGATATCTGTACACTTCAGTAAAGATTTAAAACTGAGTGTTAGTAATTGTGCTTTCCTCCTATGGGTTATCCTCCTTTATTGGGAAATGACCCTGCTTTTCGGAATAATGCAAGTACAGTGGAACCCTGGATTTCGCATGCACCGGATATCGGACATTTTAGATTTAAAACACTTTTTTGGGTGAAATTTTGCTCCGGATTTCATACCTTGTTCCTGGAATCGTACATATCGGACGTGTTCGCCCGCCAGAACGCCGCCTCAGTCTGGCTTTGTCATTGGTTGAGTGAGCATTCATCTGAAACATTTCACAATTTTTGTGCTTGTTTATTGATTACGACTGCGAAATAAGCCACCATGGGCCCAAAGAAAGTTCTTAGTGCCAGCCCTTTGGTAAAGAAAGTGAGAAACATGATAGAATTGAAGAAAGAGATTGTAAAAAAATACAAAAGTGGCATATGTTTAGTCAAGCTTGCCAGGATGTATGGGAAGTTGAAATCAACAATCTGTTCCATCCTGGCAAAGAAAGTAGAAATCAAGGAAGCTAAAGTTACGAAAGGGGTGAATATGCTAACGAAACAGAGATCACAAACAATCAAAGATGTGGAGAAGTTGTTGTTGGTGTGGATCAACGAAAAACAGTTAGCTGGAGATAGTGTTGTGGAGTCGATCATTTGCGAAAAGGCAAAGCAGCTGCTTGCACATCTCATAATGAAAATGCCTGGAATGAATGCTGCTGTCAGCAAATTTAAGGCCAGCAGAGGCTGGTTTGACAGATTCAAGAAGCATAGTGGCATACAGAGTGTTGTAAGGCATGGTGAGGCTGCAAGTTCACACAAACATGCTGCTGAAGAATTCGTTAATGAATTCAAGGAGTACATAGAGGCTGAAGGATTCCTCCCCCCCAACAAGTGTTCAGTTGTGATGAAACATGCTTCTTTTGGCCTGTTTCATCACAAGAAAATGCCAAAAAGGACCTACATCGCGCAGGAGGAAAAGGCACTGCCAGCACACAAGCCTATGAAGGATAGGCTAACTCTTTTGTTCTGTGGTAACGCTAATGGGGATTTCAAAGTGAAGCCTTTACTGGTGTATCACTCTGAAAATCCCAGAGTGTTCAAGAAAAACAATGTCATCAAGAGTCAATTGTGTGTGATGTGGAAAGTTAATAATAAGGAATGGGTTATGAGGCAAATTTTCATTGACTGGGTCCATGAAGTGTTTGGCCCGAGTGTGAAAAAATACCTCCTGGAAAATAACTTGCCACTCAAGTGCCTCCTGGTACTGGACAGTGCTCCTGCTCATCCTCCAGACTTGGAAGACCAATTGATTAGGGACTTCAGTTTTATAACAGTGAAGTTCTTGCCTCCTAGCACCACTCCTCTCATCCAGTCCATGGACCATCAGGTCATTTTGAACTTCAAAAACTCTGCAGAAAAGCAATGTTTCAAAGGTGCTTTGAAGTGACCTCAGACACTGACTTGACCCTAAGAGAGTTCTGGAGGAATCTCTTCAATATCCTCCATTGAATAAGCTTTATAGGTAAGGCTTTGCAGGGAGTGATTTCCAGGACTTTCAACTCTGCTTGGAGAAAATTGTGGCCAGAATGTGTCCTCGACAAGGATTTTGAAGGGTTTGAAGCTGACCCTGATGACCCTTTGCCTGTTGTGGAATCTATTGTGTCTTTGGGGAAGTCCATGGGGTTGGAGGTGAGTGGCAAGGATGTAGAAGAGTTGGTGGAGGATCACAGGGAAGAGCTAACCACTGAAGAGCTGCAAGACCTTCAACTGGAACAGCAACAGACTGCAGCTGAGGAAATTGCTTCAGAGGAGGAGGAAGAGAGAGGGGAGAAGGTGCCTTCTTCAGTGATTAAGGACATTTCTGCAAAGTGGAATGAGGTGCAAACTTTTGTTGAAAAATATCACCCTGACAAAGCTGATACAAGCTGTATCTGCAACATGTTCTGTGACAATACTTATCCCATTTTAGGCAAATCTTAAAGAGATGCCAGAAACAGAGCTCTCTGAACAGATTTTTAGTGTGACAGGAGTCCAGTGCCAGTAAAAGACAAAGAAGGGAAGTAACCCCAGAGAGGGCTTTGATACCTGAAGTCCTTATGGAGGGGGATTCCCCTTCCAAACAATAACCTCAACTCTCTCTTCCCTCTTCACCTTCTTTAATATACCAACAAGAGTCTTCAGTAAAGGTATGTAATGTTCACTTATCATTAAAATTAGTGCTTTATACTTATTTCTCATTGTTTTCTGTATAGTTATTCTTTAAAAAATTAATTTTTGTGAATATTTTTGGGTGTCTGGAATGGATTAATTGGATTTACATTTTTTCTTATGGGAAATATTACTTCGGTTTTTGTACGTTTCAGATTTAGAATGACCTTCTGGAATGGATTAAGTACGAAATCCAGGGTTCCACTGTTGTACTATACAGGATTATTTTTTAATACATGGTTTAAAAGAATGTAATAGCAAAAAGATGTGTTGTCATACCTTACTACCATTCCAGTAATGATTATAAGCAATGCCATTAGTAAACATAAGAGTAGTGTAGGGTAGATTATCAATGTCTGATGGTGTGCTTCCTATGCCTGCAAAACAATAGACAGAAAAATATCAGATGGAGATAAATCACTTTCTATGAATATTAATGTTACAGCATAATATCAGATGAGTTATACATGAATTATATAGTTTTCCTCACTTTATTTGGTTCCACTTTGTGCAAACTTGGTTATGTGTGGCAATCCTGTTTCTTCAGTAATTTTCTATATGGTATGTGGTATAAATTTGCTCTTTTGAGATTACCCAAGTCCAGTACTACTTGATATTTTAACAGTGTATCTTTAGATATCGCTCTAAATTAGTTTATATTGACATTCAACGTGGTATGCTCATTTTTTTTTTTTTGTGTGTGTGTAAACATCAGTGGGGATGTTGCAGTTGGAGTGGTGATTTGATTGCGATTGTCAGCAAATTTCTGGAAAGACTGTGATTGATTGAATGTTGGTGAATGTCTTTTCTTATTTGGGTCACCCTGCTTTCGTGGGAAATAGTCATTTGAGTAAAAAAAGAAATCAAGAAATGTGGATTTTTTTCTTACTCTCTTCCTCTTTTTCCCCATTCCCTCAATTCTAATGCATAATTGTATATGAAGTATGACTGAATTTTGGATTCTAACTTTTTTGGACCAAATTCATTTTTTTATTTGACCACATGGTAAATGTGTAGTAAGCTCATATTTTTTGGTAAACACATGTCAAGGAATGTAGAATTTATGAAATGTTGTAATTTTAACACACTACCGTCTCCCACCGATTGTCTTCTTATGCGCCATCAGTGGGTAATGGATCTGTCACATAAAGCAAGGAATATCTTGCATATATATGATGATTATATCCTCTATTTGCTGTCAGTTAATTATCATTTATATACAGTATTTCACTTGGTATTCTTTTATAATAATATTTACTTCTTTTTTTTTTTAACATGTCAGCTGTTTCATCATTCAACACTTTCACCATCATTCATACATAATCACTGTCCTTGCAGAGGCACTCAGATATGACAGTTTAGATTCACTCCAAACAGCCAATATCCCAAACATATACAATATACATATACTTAGTACTGTACTGTTTATAATAAATTTACAAGGTACATAGTTAAAAAAAATATTTCTGTATTAATATACTGTACATACCTAGAATGTTATTTCCTCTCTTGGCATAACCATTAATGGTCATAACGTGGGAGTGATCAGCTGTGACAATGACTAGGGTTTCACTTAGATCCACCATTGATAGAGCAGTATTAAGAGCATCTTCAAAGGCTACAATTTCCTCAAAAGCACGCAGAGGTTGGGTTTCATGCATAGCATGATCAATCCTGCCACCCTCGACCTGTTATTAAGGGTGCTCATCACTGATGTGTGTTCTATTATTAAAAATTAAGTTAGGCATCCTTTTTTGCTACACAATTTTTTTTTTTCAAAATCTACTATTATCTACATAAAGCCATATTAACAATGGAAACTGATGAAAAAGTGAATTATAAGTGACAGTTAACTATATTTTAGATATGATGAATGTATAAAGTAATTTAAGAGTATATCATTAATATTTACCATTAGAAAGAACCCCTTGTGCCTGTTTTTGGAGAGGATCTTGATTGCCACAGATGTCATGTTAGCCAGACTTGGCTGACCTGAGGGCCCCTTATCACGATCAATTTCATAATCCATGTTGGTGTCAGAGAACAGTCCTGATAAAAGAGAACATATGTTAACTTTAAATACTGTAGTTTTTATATTAGAAAGGTGCTGTTTAACATGTGAATCCCACTAATTTTAAATTTCAATAATTACATAGCTAGTACAAAGTTTTTACATTATGTTTTAACGATTCTTTGCCCATTCTCAGACCATGCCTCCTAAACTGTAAAGAAAATATTAGAGAACTAAGAATTAATCTACTGTTTTAAGAAAAACAGGGAAGTAAAGTGTATATTGAATGCAAGAAGAAATTATAAGGAGCAATTAGAAATAAAGTATAAATGACTCTGTGACTAGTTTTTGGCCATCCCTCAGTAAGTATTGCTCTAACCTTCATAATATTGACATTCATAAAAAAGTGTTGAAAAAGAAGAGAAATTTGAGTGTGGGAATTCCACTGAGCACATTTTCAACAAAATTCCATGTTAGTTTTCATTTAAAAGATCATAAGCCAAGCCAAAAGTGAACCAGTACCCTGGCTGACCCAAGTTGGGATATGTAGATGACAAGTCGATCAACTGGGTATCCACACATAAGACGAGTATGGAATATCACATCCGTATGAGTTAACCCTTTCAGGGTTTCTGATGTACTAGTACGGCTTACGCACCAGGGTTTTTGACGTACTAGTACACCTAAATTCTAGCACCCTCAAATCTAGTGAGACAAAGCTGGTAGGCCTACATATGAAAGAATGGGTCTGTGGTCAGTGTGCGCAGTATAAAAAAAATCCTGCAGCACACAGTGCGCAATGAGAAAAAAAAACTTTGACAGTGTTTTTGGTTTAAAACTGCGAATTTGCACTGTATTTTAGTATGGTATTTATGATGGTATTCTAGTTTTCCTGGTCTCATTTTATAGAATGGAAGACATATTACAGAAATTGAGACGATTTTGATTGGTTTTACAATGAAAAGTATCTTGAAATTGAGCTCGAAGTAGCAGAAATCTTTGATTTTTGTCAAAGTTCAAAAGTAAACAAATCATGCTACACATCCAATACACGTCAACTGGTGAGTCTTATATTCTTTCACAAGTGCGCTGATATTATTTATACCATTTCTACACTAATGCAGTAGTCTGCATAACAGTAAATCTTCTATTTTTTGTGAGAATAAAAATTCAAAGTGGAAAGCAAAAGAATGTAAGAGGGGCGTGGGGACGTGACTAATGAACAGAGGAAATGTTATTTTAGTGCCAGGAATGTCTTTCTTGTTTATTCTGGACCCTATTTGGAAATTGGCATCTTTTGAAATTTGTGCGAAATTGGCAAAATTGCTAAATTCTGACCACTTTATTGGATAGTTGAAATTGGTAAATGGGTGGTTTCTTGTACTTATTCGATAGAAAAAATGGAGTTCTAGCGAAATGGTTATGATTTTTGTCGACTAGTACACTGGAATTGGCCGAAAATAGGGCTCAAAGTGGGCAAAATTGCCAATGCTTAAGCATCGTGTTGACCGCTAAATTTGCGAGAGCATAATTTCGTAAGTTTTCCATCAAATTTCATACTTTTGGTATCATTATGATCGGGAAAAGATTCTCTATCTTTTCATAAGAATTTTTTTTTTTTTTTTTTAAATTTGTCGACTCTGAGAACAAGTCTGGGTGAGGGCCTGTTGACCCTGAAAGGGTTAAGCAAGACGGTGGTCAAAGTGGTTAGTGTACAACTTGACTCAATTACAACTGTGATTCAATTACAAAGGGATAATTTATAATAATTGTTCATTGAACTTTGATTTTGAAAAAAATACTGTTAATAACAAACTAATAATAATTACCTATTAAATTATCAGTTTTATCAGTATCAATACTCATGAGGTGTTGTTTATTCTGTACATATTCAGCTTTATATCCAAAAGCCCTTTTGTGCATTAACCATTCATGTGTTAGGTTACGATGGTCACCACGTACACAGTTGAGTTTATCGGGTATTCCAGTTGATGCCCCTAATGGAAATCGTCCCCCTCCAAGTATTACCTGAGAAATATAAAAAAAAATGAAATGATCTGCATATCTATACAGTATTTGCAATAATGAGAACAGTAAAATAAAAGACCATAATTTTTTTTTTAAAGCTATTTAATGCATTAGCTTCAGTGATGCTACTTTGGCAGTTTGTTATATTCTGTCTGCAACTCTTTTGCCAAACTAGTGCTTTCCTACTTTCTTTCAGAGTTCAACTTGAATTTATTATTTTGACTTCTTTCTTGTTTAGATGTTCTAAATGCCATAATTACATGTTTGTTATTTATAACAGGTTTCTACTTTTACACTTCAATTATCTCTTCCTTCATTCTACACCCTGTATGATGATTACTGTATTGTAGTCATAAACAGGCATGGAACATGTGACTAATGTAGACTTTGTAAATGTGAATAATGGAGAATATATGGGGGTAACCTACCTTGACATCTTTTCCTGGAGCATTCTCAACAAGTTGTTTAGCAATATCTCTGCAGCCATGGCCAAGCTTTCCAAGTTTTGTATCACATTCCCAGTCACGGTTTGGAGAATGGGCATATAGAGCAGCAGGTGTGGCATGGGTCACTCGTGTCGTTGTCACAAATCCTGAAAATGCAAAATATTGAATGTACTACCATATTTTGGACCCTGTTTAGGAAATTCATTTGTAATTTTTTTTTTTTGAATTACATAAAAGAAATTACTTTTGTTTATTGTGGTCTTTTTCCATAATTCATAGCTGCATACAGGTAGTTTTCCAACTTAGATTTTGAATTAAAACATTTACACTGTTTCTCATGCATTATCTTGATCACTTTAGCAGTGTTGTTACATTCTGATGCAAATTATATGTCTCTGTATTAGTTCTTCCCATTTTATGTCATTTGGTTTATGGTTTTCCTCATTTCAGTGTTTTTGTTTCATGACCATGAACATTATGAAAATGCTATATTTTGTTACTTGCTTCATATATTGCATTTACCTTAAATTTACAGTAATATGATGAACAGTTAAAAAAAAAATGTGGTGCAGTACATGCTCTTGATTGCTGTATGTAAAATCTGATTTTTAAGGGAGAACCAACCATGTCTAATTAAGAAAGTGGGATAAATTTAAAGAAGAAAAGTAGTCATGTTTGTTTTTAGAGAAATGGCTAAAAAAGGAACACAAATGTAGTTAGGAAGGGCTTGTGCATAAGACATAACATTGGAGAAATCTATAAACATACTGGGTAAGGTTGTGGTGCATACTAGAAATTCTGCATGGTAAATCTGCTATATACCATAAGTTTTGGGCATAAATAGAAATAGAAATTGGAAAATAAGATACAAGTGTTAAATAAATATCTTTGGCCTTTTCTATAATTTATTACATACAGCTGATTGGCATTTATATACAAATGAAATACGATAAATAAAATATTGCTTATGCAGTAATGTCGTGTGTTAAATTTGGTTTGACTGCATCAGCATATTAAATTATTCTTGGTGAAGCAATAATAAAATTATGTTTGTTATTAATAAATACAATATTTCTATTTGTTATCTTACCTGTATGCTTGCCTGCCTTCTGTGCCCAGTCCAGTATAGATGTTTGCCACCTACAGGGATTCAGGGATTTAACACACTGATTTTTGAAAACAGTGCTATCTAGCCCTAATGTATATTGGTTTGCCTTTGAGCCTGTGAAGAATGCTGTGGCTGTTGCTGCACTATCTGGGATTTGCTCATTCAGTGTATATACCTGTGGGGTAAATATATACTACACTTGAATTCTGTGGATACATGATCTCTAAATTAAAAACTATTCATAGGAGCTCGTTGAGAATGTATTCATTGGCTTTTCTTGGGCCAAATCTCTCTTATTTTTGGTCATCCTTTATTATGAATGTCAGTATTAAAGAATTGATAGCAATATTTAAAGATATATTCCCTGCAACTCAAAAGGAGTCCAAATATCATGCTACCTCTCAGAACATATCTCTTTCCCTTTGTTTTTAACACACTGGCCATCTTCCACTGAGGTAGAGTGACCCAAAAAGAGGAAACACATTAAACAATCATTTACTCAATTGCTGTCTTGCCAGAGGTGTGCTGACATCACAGTTCAGATGACCTTCCAAACTGCAACATCTTCACCTCCAAATTGCAACATCTTCACCCCTTCCTCCCCGCTTCCCACAAAATTTGGTGGCCAGATTTACTTGTTTGTATACAGTATTTTTTATTTTCCAACAAACTGGCCCTGTCCCACTGAGGCTGGGTGACCTAAAAAGAAAAACAAAAGTTTTTCTTTATACATTTAGCAAGTTATAGAGGAGAAGGGGTTACTAGCTCCTTGCTCCTAGCATTTTAGTTGCCTCTTAAGACATGCATGGCTTATGGAGGAAGAATTCTTTTCCACTTCTCATATATGCAGTATATTAATAAATAATAAAACTACAAAGAAATAATTAAAATAACATTGTGTTATATACTGTATGCACTACTATGTTAGCGTCAGAATTAATGAAAATTTAATCCGTGATATTGACAATCATTATCTAACTTTTAAAAGTGCTGTGTGTGGGAAGCGTTCCCATGCCAGGTATCCCTCTTCTCCTGAGCGTCTGTGACGCTTTTGCTCTTTGTAAATTCTGGCTGCTGTTGATGCCACAACACCCATGCCATCTCCAAGGAAGAACACCACCTGAAAGAATAAGTCACATTACCCTGGCAGGAACCACTTGACAACTAAACCACAAACTGGTGATGAAACTACCTTAGATAATGATGTCTAGTTTTATCTTCAGTTGGTGGGTTACTTGTGAATCACCTGGCATGGCAGTGAAAACATATTAAGCAAAAACCTAATAGGTCATAATTATAGATTATCATAATTATGATCATTTTTGGTATACAGTACTACTGTATATAATAATTTATATTGATAAATATTGTGTGGCTGTGTAATATTAAGGAAATGCCAATCTTGCAAGAAATAGAGTAGTCCAAGTTTAGATTTTTTTTTTTTTTTAATTTTTAATACATCAGCCTTTTTCATCCAAGGCAAGAAAATAACATTCTGTATCGTTCATTTTCTAGCTGTTATTTCAAATCCTGCAATTTAAATGGTACTCTGAACTGCAACATCCTTACCCATAATATTTTGTTGACAAATTAAAATTTATAATATGTATAGTACAGTATCCCTATTTATAACTGTCATTGCACAATTACTCGATGCAAACATTTTTAAATTTCACTTGTTGTAACAGTCTGGTAAAGCACTCATGTGCTCAGCCTAAATATCCATTACAATGTTGGTGTGTATGTTGTAAAGATTTTTAATACTGGTTATTGTAATTAAAGTATTAATCTCATACTAGTCATGAGAGTGCTTTGAGAGGGGTAATACTCCATGATTTGTGAGTAAATGTGTACCTGTTTGACAAGTGAGAAGCCACTTGGATACAAAATGAATCAAAAAGAGAGAGTGAACTATATATTGTGGCTTTAGTAAGGAAGTGAAGAGAAGGGAGATAGAGAAGTGGACAGATGAGAATAATGTATGGAAGCATGGGGAAAATAGTGCAGAATTGGGAAGGGGAATGTTTGGGAGTAGGAAAAATATCTAGGATTGGGCAAGGGATGTGTAGGAGTGGGGGGAAAAAAGATTTTTCATTGTTACTTAATGGCCTTCAGATACACACGTGAGCTGTGGGTTGCAGATGCAAGATATTTTTGCTCAACAACGATCTCAGTATCGTGTTATGCAGTACAGTAGAGTACTGTACTCACATTTTTAGCAATGTTCCAATTGTTCGATGAAGCAGTAAGTATAGCATCTTGTAGGTCTGACCAACCCAGATGGTGCCAGTGTGCAGTGTCTGCAGGATAGGAAGGAAGTTAACACATTTGTTGCATGCAGAAGGATGCAGTATTACCACATTTTGGCTGACTTTTGATCCAATGAGATGTTGTTAATGCTTCATAACCTTGAGTTATTGCATGCAGGACACTATAGTATTATAATACAGTACCACATTTTGGCTTGCTATTGATCTAACAAGATGTTAAGTTAATGCTTCTTGCCTTTAAATTATTCCATGCAGAAAGATAGGGAATTACAATACAGTACCATATTTTGGCAAGCTAATGATCCAACACAGTGTTAAATTAATGTGACTAACCTTCGGTGCCCGGCACAGGGAACACCTGGGCTCCTGTATGTATTCTCAAGGGTAACAGAAGTTGCAGGTAAAGTAATGTTGTTGGTAATACTCTAGACTGTTTCATTTTGCTTCTGTGTAATTTGTTGACACACTACCAGTGACTGACTGGCAAATCTGTTAAAGAAACATCACATGATAATCATAATATAAGGGAGCCTAGCTCCAGTTCCTTGAATCAAGAGTCCTTCAGCATCAACCCACCTTGAAGGGATGTGCATCTACATATAGATGACTTAGGAAATCAGTCATTTTGACAAGTGCCAATTCCCAGTGCAAACATTTGGAAAACACAAATATTGTTGTGTATATAAATAACTGGTTTGTAAATAAAAAAAACAGGATTGCATTTCATTAGTACCACTTGGTATTTATTGGTTTGTTTTTTAATAGTAAGACAATACATTGGTTCACCATTGCCCCAACACATTGGGATGTTGAACAGTATAGTATTAAATTGCAGGAATGAACAAACACAAGTGTATTGTAATCATCGCGTACTGAAAACAAGGTACCAGTAACTGTAGCAGGGAGGTGTTAGGAGGGAAAGAAATAAAGTTTGGGGAAGCAAGGAAGAACTATATGAAAGGAAGGTCGAGTTGTGGGGAAGGAAGGAGATTGTAGGGAGGGAAAGGAGTTATGGGGAGGAGGTGTGGGGGAAGGGAGTTGTGAGGAGGGGAAGGTGTGGGGGAAGGGAGTTATGGTGAGGGGAGTGGTAATTATTGTTATTATTATTATAAAAAAGAAGCGCTAAACCACAAGGGGTAGGGGAGTGGTAAGGAGGGGAGGGAGTGGTCGGGAGGGAGAGTTAATTGTGGCGAGGGGAGGGAGGTGTGAAAGGGAGTTGTGGCGAGGGAGGTGTGGGAGGTATGGCGAGGGGAGGGAGGTGTATGAGGTAAGGGAGTTATGGGGAGAGGAGGGAAGAAGATGGGGAGGGAAATGGTAATAACGTAGGTGTGGGAGGCAAGCATTTACCGAAAACCGAATAATTTTTTTTTTCCGAATTACACCATTAATGAGTAACAAAAAGAAATGTATAGGTTATACAACATTCCATCTTCATGAAGCGATGTCATAAGCTGCAGTTTTAGCCAGTTCTGCTTACGTACTATAAGAGTTACCATCAGAAATCATAAACGTTTCAGTTGGCATTTAATACAGTAGCCATATAGAGTGGTTGCCACACCCAGGCCAGGCCAGACTCCAGATTGATAATTGAGCAGTTTGCGTAGTCGGCTTATGACGTATATGTTTCTCTCGGATACGAAAAAAAATCCTAGCGGGAACAGCCGTGGAATGTCTAGCCAGTGACATTTAGCGAATTGTGGATGACGCTAGGTGTTGCTAGGTTAGATGGTGTTGAGGTGATATTAGGATTGCTTGGATGGTGCTGGGGGTGTTAGATGGTATTGGGATAGTGTTAGATGGTGCACGGATGGTCTTAGATGGTGCTGGGGTGGTGTTAAATAAGTGTTGGAGTGGTATTAGAAGTTGCTAGGGAGGTGTTACATGATGCTGGACTGATATTCAGTGGTACCGGGGTGGTGTTAGATAATACTGGGCGGTGTTAGATGGTTCTAGGGTGGTGTTAGATGTAACCGGGGGTATGTTAGAGTGGAATTATATAAGAAAATATCAAACAGACTAGTTATTAAATAATGTGATTTACTGAATTTTTTTACTAGCAGCCTGGTTGATCATCTAGGCTGAGACAATGGAAACGGTCACAAAAACACTAGAAATGTGAGGATTTGAATGGAATTTGAGGAAAAAAACATGCCGGTGGTAAGAAGCTAGTAACTGTATGCTCATCACGCGCACAGCAATTTTAAGTGGTCAAATAAACAGGTATAAAGGAAGACAGGCAGTCGTATAGGAAGACAGGTATAAGAAAAGACAGGCAGTCGTATAAGAAGACAGGTATAAAGGAAGACAGGCAGTCGTATAGGAAAGATTATAAAGACAGACAGTCCTACAGTCTTGATATTCAAGAGCAGACTTGATTCAAGGAATTGGACTTAGTCTGCTATGCCCCTCCTGGGCAATGTATGACTCGTAAGGGTCATTCATACCTGATGGTAATAATTATGGGAGGATTGCACTGAAACACTTCAATGGAGGAAGGGGTATCCCTTGATGCCGGTTTTTTTTTTTTGAGCAAAAATTTGCAACTAACCTCATCTTGGCTGAATTCTGACTACATCCCATTTCCCAGGCTACCTCATCATCAATAATAATACTGCGTTATTATTGTTGTTATTATTATTATTATTATTATGACAAGCATACAACATCTGTAGATACATCATGATTAGTAAATGGTGTGGATTTAAAAGAATAAGTCACAGTACTGATGTTTTCGTCCCTCTGATGTGGTTCGAGACGTCATTTTAAGTTAAGTTACCTCTCTAAAGTGCAGGTTATTTGTGATGTAGGTTTAGCAAGGATAGCTTAAAACTGTCAGCGTGAGTTTTATTTTCATTGGTTAATAACGAGTAAAATGTTAGGCTACGTGTTCTCAGTAAATTAGATGAGCTGGATTCATGTGCGGAAAAAAAGAAGTTCTTAGATGACGATGTCAGCGGTAAGAAGGAATGTGACTGTGCCTCCCAGCGTACATAAGGGGGATTACCAATAGACCCCTGGCTGTCTTCAAGAAGGCACTGGACAGGGCCCTAAAGTCAGTACCTGATCAGCCGGACTGGGGTTCGTACGTCGGTTTGCGTGCGGCCAGCAGTAATAGCCTGGTTGATCAGACCCTGATCCACCACGAAGCCTGGTCTCAGACCGGGCCGCGGGGGCGTTGATTCCCGAAACTCTCTCCAGGTATATTCCAGGTAATAAACAGGCTGAGCTCGCTTGTGAGCGATGACCAAACTAAAGTGTTTATTTTCGAAAGACACACTGCAAATAAAGATAAGAGTGGCACTAGATAGTGTTGGTATGATCGCTATTGGACTACAGAGTCCGGCATTGGTAAGCCAGCAGTAGTTGCTACCATTTTTTCCACTGCTTGTCATATATGTCCGTAGCTGGACCCTCATGGCGTCAAACTATACGACGGCTTTTTAACCCGATTCAGCCAGGAACACGTCTCAGCATAACCGTGAATAGTTTGTGCTTCGAGTATAGTTGACAAAAGATGTAGCCTCCATAATTTCTTGCACTGATTGACCAACGCAGCATATAACATTTCAATCACTGACCACAAATATTGAGATATTCATTGAGTGTATGATATTGGGCATTTCCTATCCTTTATAGCTACATCTAGTAGTGTTTCCTTGGGCGATCTTCTGGTTGTACATTCGAGTGGAATTGTTGTGCTATCTTCTTTTGTTGACCGACCCAGTTAGCATCCCATCTCCTAATCTGTTCCGTATCGTAATATATTGACTTAGAGGGCCATGGGCCACCCTGCCTTCACGAGGCGGGGTGGCCAGCACCACTTGTTGGGTCTTCTTAAGAAAAGACCCGTGTCAGGTGATCTTACCGACAAATTAATATCAACAGTCACGTGACTTTCCCTTTAACTAATCATAAGCAACATTGGAGTGCCGCTTTTAATGGCTCACGTGTAGTTGATAGGCTTTAAACCTAACAGATTAACTTTTGACCCTTCATATTTGACCCTTGACCGATCACAACCAAACGTAAGAAACTTCCATTGATATTATTAGTTCGGAAGTCTAGTTGAAGGTTAGAATTTGAATACACAAGTTTGGACCATAAGATTAAATCTTCCAAGGCGACCTTTAATCCTCTCAGGTGCAGTGAACGGCCTTCAACACTCAAATAGAGGACCTGATCCTTATGAGGATTTAATTGAACGTAAAAACTAGAACCTTACTGCTAGGTATTTCACCTATGTTAATTAGGTTGTTACGACTAACATTTGCTCGTCACTATTAACAAAAGTAAAATAATGGTTCTTAGTATCCAGGGCATATTTACAAATGTTTATAATTGCCAGTTTGTCACCTCTCTCAGACTACAGCGATTAACATCAATTTCCACTGGTCAGTGGACATATGGAAGCAACATAAACGGGCGGATTGCGGCTGGTAATGCTGGACAAGTGGTTCTTAGAGGCTTTTAAAGCTAATATCACAAAGATCAGAGAAGACAATATCAATTTTAGTTATTTTTTGACGTGTTCAATGTTTTTAAAAGTTTCCTGTTTTTCTCTACTGCATTTTCTTTATTTTGGGTTAAAGTTAAGGCTATGTTGGGTTAGGCTGTCATGCATAAATGTATTAAAATATATTTTAACATGAATGCGCACATTAACATACGTCTGGCAACGAGTTGGACTAGGAAAAAATGGAAAACGTTGAAATTTAAACAATAATATCTGGGTGAAAGACTAGACTGCCCCAGGCGGGCTTTTTAAAACTGGAGGGAGGATTATATGACTTACAGTGTTTCCTGTGTTAAATGTAGTGTTGTCTAGTTTATCCGTGTCTGACAGTTATATCATATTTAATTCAAATCAAAACAGGTTTAAGTATTAACTGTAGTAGTGAGACTTCCTCATGTAGCACTTTGTACAATGATGATAATAATAATAGGTATTGATATTAGTGCAGGTAATAATAATATAATAATAATAATAATAATAATAATAATAAATATTAAATTTGCATTAAATCTAAAAATGCTAATCTAATATATATATATATATATATATATATATATATATATATATATATATATATTATATATATATATATATAATGTGACCTTGTCACGCGGAAGTGTGGAATGTAACCTTTGGGGGTGGGTTATGGGATGGTTGAATTGTGACCTTGGTTAACGCGCGTTTCATGGTCCGAATTGGCGTATTTGGTTATGACCTTATCTACAGCGTTGTCATTGTCTTAGTTGGCGGATCATGGGATTGTGAACTTACCTAGGCAAGTGAAGTGAAATCAATCTATAATTGATTACGTAGTGTCATATATTCATTAAGTTAAATGCCTTTTAAGGGACCTTGATGATGGAGAAGGGTTCTTATTCAGAAGAATTAAAACTACCTTCCCCTTCCTTGGATCAGTCCTCATTACTTTCCTGTCCCCAGGTGTTGTATGATCTCTATAAGTTTAGCGCTTCCCTTG